AAAAAAAAAAAAAAAAAGGGAGAAAAAAATGGTTCTGTACTATCATCTGGATTAGCAGAGTTTGTGAGGTTTTTTGGAAGTCCAGTGAGAAATAGGTGTTTTGATTTTTTTTTGTACATACGGTAAAAAGGAAAAAAAAACCCTGTACATACGTGTGAACCAAATTGTACAAGAAAGTATATATTTTTGGCTAATAAATAAACTGTTGCCACTTTGCGTCCGCCCTCCGTCCCCCCCCGCCGGCGGCCGCGGGGGCTGCGCGGGGCTCCAGGCTGGAGCCGCAGCGCCCCCTGGAGGCCGCTCCGCGCCCGCGCTCCGGCCGCCCCGTCGCGCGCGGGGACGGAACCCGCGGGGATTTGCGAGGGGTCCGGGAGCTGCGGCCCCCCTTCCCCCCCAAAAAAAGTGGGAGCCATCCCCTTCCCCGGGCCGGGCCGCACCGACCCTGTCGCTGCGGAACTTTCCGCCTCGTTTTTCCCGGCAGAAACGCGCAAGATCCGCCCAGCGCCGAGGTGGGGGAAGCGCCTTCCGCAGCCGCGGTGCTGCTCATGCACCCCCTCCTCCTTTCCCGCATCCCGCTCCGCGCCACCCCCCTCTCCACGTTATGCACACCGGGATCGGGGCGGGGGACACCATTCCCACCTCCCCATCCTGGGAATGTCGCTACTCACGGAGGTGGCAATTAAATATCATAGCGTGGGTGACAGGCGCTATGGGGGGTGCCGGGGGGGCTGGGCGCCAGGAGGTAAGAGTTAAAGCGGAGTTACGGCGGAGACGGCAGCGCGGGGCTGACGTGCTCCAAGTTAGACAGCGCAGGATATGCAAACGCGCGGGGCTCCGGTATTGACATTTTGAGGTCAGAGTGATAGGAATGTATTATTTATAGGAGCGCGTTGTGCTGGGCTGATAAACCACGTTTTTAAATCCGAGGCGTTTGTAAGCGATAAGATTTATATATACACACTATATATTTACAGTGTATATATGTGTATGGATACAGGCGTGTTATGGGTGCATTTCAATGCCGTGAGGGAGCTGTGGAGTTTGCAGCACTTCTGTGGTCCCTGCTGTTCCCCTTCCTCTCCGTGCGGCCTCTCCGGCCACAGCGAGTCCCGGGAGCGGCGGTTTTCCTGCCCGTAGCCCCGGCACGTCCGTGTTTCTGCCAGGGATAGTTCCCCTCCTTGCACACGGCTGGGTCCCAAATCGGGGAGGAAAGGGCGCTCTCTGGGTGCGTGGCTAGAAAATGGCTCGTTCTCATGTAAATTTTACCTAGCCTCTCTGCACTTTGTATCCCTGCGTTTTCCTTAGCCAGATCTTGACAGAGGAGGAAAAAAAAAAAAAAAAAAAAAGAAAGAAAAGAAAAAGGGAGGTGAGGGAGAGATATCCCATGGACGTCGTGGTGGGTTTTCCGTAGAAACTTTCACACAGCAGCCAAACAGATGCTTACAGGGGGTGGAAGATAATGATGGGAGGGCAATAAGAAGATGATTCCATCCCCGTCTCTCCTGCACCAGTAACACCATCCCAGCCTGGCATGGGCTCCATGTCCCGCCGTCAGGGCTGCCTGCATCCTATTCCTTAGAAACGCTCCTCGCGGCTCGGCCCGGCCAGGCCTCCCTCCACCGCCGCTCCCTTGGCTGCTCTTTTCCTGTCTAATCAATTATCCCGCTAGCGAGTCCTTCTCAAAGGTGAGAGCTCATTATGCATATTCATAAATCACGGCTCCCAGCCCTGACACTGATTGATGGAATCATCTCCTGCCTTCCTCAGCGGCCGCCGGCACGGGGGAGACGTCCCCAGGGCCGCCTGTGCTCCCGTCGGGGCCACCGGCCGCAAAACCATCCGCAGGAGGAAGCCGCTTGGACCCGGGAATCCTGCGGAGCTCCCCCAGGACAGATAACAGCGTTGCAGGCAGAATTAAAGCAGCAGGGAAAAGATCCAACCACCCCRTTCGTCCCCCTGCAAGTTTCCACAGTCAAGAATCACGCTCGAATTCTAAGTCCTCACATGGGCTAAAATAAACCCCAACCATCCATGCCAGCTAACGGCCTTGCTTTCGTTTTCCTCGAGCACTTAGAGCTGTTTTATCCCTGAAAGAAAAGGGGCAGCCTGGTATGAATTCCGACCGCCAGCATTTAGCCACACCACACAATAAAGCCCTTTCAGATACACCTGCAACTGCTCTTGGTAGCTGCACTGAAAGAAGGGAGAAGTTGGGAACGGTGCAAGTTGCTGCCGCGGGGCAGGAGGGCTCCCTCGGACCGGCCCTCGGCTCCAAGGCGCTCGGCTATCTCATCTAGGATTCGTTTCCCAACGYGAGCTTAAGCGCGGCCGCGTTCGGGATGCTGTTCCCATTACGTGGTTTACCTGCACGGCTAATATTTACACTTTTAAAATGCCTCTTTCTATCACTTTGATCAGAACTATCAGTGTACTGAAGTAATAATACAAAAAAATATATGCCCTGGAAATCGTAACAAGATACAAATCAAAGTGAGTCCTAATCAAGTACTTTTGAGAGCGTTATCTTCCTTGTTAACAAATGGTAATAAGAAAATTAAGGCTTATGGCTTGCTTGCATTTTATCTAAGAAAACCAATAAAGATATCAGATGCTCTTTGTTTTATATGTTTGAATGTAAAGCGGAATAWTGAGGAACTTGTACCTTGTAAGGATTCATTTGCTTTATGGATGTTAACCCTTTGCCAAGCTAAGGAAATCCTGAATTTACAGAAGGAGAAAGAACTTGCGTTGGGTCGCTGAGGCTGCTGCCTGCTGCAGCCAGGACAACACTCTTTTTTTTCTATTAAATGCTGAAATTGGAACAAAGCAACAATGGCTGCTTGCTAACTCTGCATGTCCAACAGGCCTCTTTACTATTCAGCAAATGGAAGATATTAAACAACATTTTGCTTAAAGGTACACTGAGGCCATTTCCATTAGGACATGGTGTCATTCATTTATTCACATGTTAAGTGGATGTCCTTGTGGCTAATGAGTAATAATCAACAGTGACTCCACTTTATTCCTTTGCTCCCAGCAATGTTAAATACTCTGATGGAGTCTCTTTGCTGACACACTAGAGAATATGGTTAAAAAGTGCTAAAGGACATTTTTAGCATAGAGCAGCCACATGCGCGCATGCTGGAAATGCCACTTTTATTACAGTCTATTCTATTAGGCTTTGTTCCTGGCTGAGGCACAGTGCACGGGAACCTCTGATATTTATTTGAAGACAGTTTATGCTTTAAAAGCCTGGAATTCTAGGTGTGGGAGTCCATTTGGTTATTACCAGGAGGTGAGTTCCTGACCACCTGGTTTGTAAAAAAAAATCAAAACATATATTTAGTTCTGTACAGGACTATTCACAGTGATGCTTAGYGGAGGAGTGATTTAGGACAAAATCTTTCCTGCATAAATCTAGTTTGACATATATTTTATAAAATAAAGTAGCTCTCCTAGCACCTAATTAATCCATTTTATTATATCAACTTCAGCGGTTAAGTAGGTTAATAAACTATATTAATATATATTTTTCCCTTTACACGATTGCTTACACTAGAGTCTGCAGCTCGGTTGTCTTCTGTGTCAACTCCTGAAGTTTGAGAGGTGTAAATGAATCATTCTCGGTCATGATTAAGCTTAAGTTAGAAATAAAATATGTCAATCAATCTGGTTGGAAATGTTCCCGCTGTCTAAGTTGGTTATGCAAAACACTCCAAGGTGTATAGGCATGCTCAATTAGGTCAAGGGATGTGATGGCACTCCTAGCCATAAATGCGTGTCACCCGGATTCCTCATTATTTTTAGCAGTGGTGAAAATGCATGTCAGTAGGCCAGCTAGCCGGATTAGAATAAAATTACTTCCTAGGCATGCTCAAACCCCTGTTTTTTCATACATTAATATTATGCTTGTTTTCAAGCAAAAGAGAGGGAAAAAATTGCATCTTTCTCCCTCTCTCAAATCTGACTCTATTCAATTTCTTACTAATCGCTAGTGTAATTCATACTGGACTACACGATACTGAAGACACCTCAGCAGTAAAGTTTAAGTGTCTAAAACCATAGATGCAATACGAAATTAGACACAAGAAGAAAACCATCAATCTGCTATATTGCAGTTTAACTTGCTTCCCAGAGCTGTAAGCATGAGCTTTAAGGGAGTCGAGACCCATCCTCATACTGAAATAATGTGATGAAAATGAACCATTGTTGGTCCAATGGACCAAATTTGCTGGAAAATTTCCAGTAAATGGCTATGGAGCAGCAGCTCCTGGGCT